ACGGTCAGGAAATTGGGCTTTGCGCGTCGCGCTTCTGGTTCTGGCCCACCACGCTTCGGCTCGACACGCTAACCACTTCCCCATTTCCGAGTGTCAACGTCCCGAGTTTTTCTCGGCCTCCCGCCCCGCGGAGCGGAGCCTCCGCGGTACACTAAGCAAACGTTCCCGACCGTAACACATTTCAACATGAGAACGAACGCGCGAAGTATAAATGCGCAGGGGCATACCTCTAGCAGGTGGGTCGGGTCGGGCGGGCGGGCCCTAACGGGCGGGCGGCCCTGGCGATGCAAGAAATCATATAGTGCGCACTGCCTGTAATATCGAACAGAAGCGTGAGTGTCACGTGCGGTGCGATCTTCTTGGGATGGTGAGGGCAACGAGACACCAAAGAACCTTTGATTGACAAAAACATGTATGCTGACAGGGATGCCTCTTCCTGAACGCGCTTGCCAAACATGCGGCAATACGTATATACTATCAGACCAGTGCATGTTGATTGACCCAGTTGATGGGTCCAACATCAATTGATGATTGCACCACGTGGTGAACTCATGATTGCATTCTGCGCGCGTGCGGCCGCATGGAATTGTTTGGGAGGGATTGTGACACATCTCGCCCATGTTCCATGGGATTGTGCAGTCGCACGTAGTGCTTGAGAGGAATTGTGACATCAGCTCACGTGCGCCGCACATTATCAATTTACATTGGCGATGGAAGGGGGGCTGTACTGGATGGCTAGGGATTGCATCATTTCATGCTCTGGATGATTCATCGTTCAATAGATGTACGAACACCCCCAGTCACACGAGACCAGGAATGGAGCCAATGCTGTCTTGGGGACAGAATCGAACATCTGGGAGCAGATCAGCGCGATCTACGATAATATGTTTAGGCTGTGGTCTGGTAGGTACTGTGGCCATGAAGCCGTAGAGCTATAGAGTATACGTAAATCAGACAGTTCCACGTGGTATTGTGTGTTACGTGGGCCGCCCCTTGCGCATCCCTCTGGTGCAGACGAAGTGCCACGCCTGCCGCGCCTTGCGAGCGTATTACGTATAGAGGCCGCGCTGAGGCACGGCGCATTGTACACCATCTTTGGTGTCGACAAAGTACCACGGCGAGGGTGCGTTTGCTAAAATATGCGCGTTAATCACACTGTTGCGTACCCAACCCATTTGCATCAAGTGACAAGAGGAGTTGGCCCAAACTTGCCAGGACGATGACAGTGCAGGCGCCGTCGTATCTGGTGCAAACTACATGGAATGCGCCCACGTGAACTCGTGGCACGATTCACAGGACAACAAAGAAGGACGAGGACCGAGGGCCCAGGCCTGAGGAGGACATGGGGGCGGGAACGAGTGGCAGTCGAAGGACGCGCGGGGGGCCGAACCGTCAGCGCGGCAGCAGCTGAAGGAAGGTCGCAGGGGGCAGAGGACGACGACGAAAGTGACGGGAAAAGGATGACGATAGTACGGTAAAGATGCAGCGTTGCCTGCGCTATGTCGCCACGGCGCTCGAAAACATGACTACACCTGTTTATAGTCAGTGCAAGAAGCGGGCAAGGCCTAACTCGGCGGCCAGCTTCTCTGCTTCCTTCCTGACGCGCCCGGGACTCGGAACAACCCCCACGTAATAGAAAACGGCGTCATTCCGCTGGACCCCAGGGATGGCGAGGTCTCCTGGTGGTCCGCGTAAGGTTTCACTCCGCTGGACCCCCCAGCAACCCTCGAAAGTGGCGACAAATTCAAGAATCGCAGACCCCCCCACGGACGGCGAGGTGTAATCTGAATCTGGGTGGTGCCCCATTTCGCTGGACCCCCAGCAATCCTCGAAAGTGGCGACAGCCTCGCAGATCGCAGCCCACCAGGGACGGCGAGGTCTTATCTGAATCTGGGTGGTGCTTCACTCCGCTGGACCCCCAGCAGCCTTCGAAAGTGGCGACCTTTGCGCAAATCGCAGCCCCACAGGGATGGCGAGTTCTAATATGAATTCGGTTAGTGCCTCATTCCGCCGGACCTCCCAGCAATCCTCGAAAGTGGCGACAGTATCGCAGATCGCAGCCCACCAGGGATGGCGAGGTCTAATATGAATTCTGGGTCGTGCCTCACTCCGCAGCCCTCGAAACTGGCGGCAGCCTCGCAGATCGCAGCCTCCCGGGGATGGCGAGGTCTAATCTGAATCTGCGTGGTGCTTCACTCTGCTGGACCCCCCAGCAGCCTTCGAAAGTGGCGACAGTCTTGCAGATCGCAGCCCTTCAGGGGTGGCGAGGTCTAATCTGAATCTGGGTGGTGCCTCATTCCTCTGAACCCCCCAGCAGCCCTCTAAAGTGCCGAGGTAATGGCAGGAGGAAAGAGGAGAGGAGGAAGGAGGCGGGAAGGAAGGAAAGAAGAAGGTGTGCGACCGCAATGCTGTATTCAAAACGAGTGCCCAACGCAGGAGGGTTGGGGATCAAAAACAATAAGAACCAAAATATGGTGTTCCTCGGTAGCGTGCGTGCTGTATACCAGTGTTGCATGGTGTGTGCACGCGACTGTAGAATCAGCGTAAGAGCGTCATCCTTCATACTCCGATGTGTAGGTGTTGAGTGCGCATGTCATCCTTCATCTACCTGTGTGTGGTGTGTATGTGTCTGCTGTGTGTATGTGTGCTGCGGAGGAGGAGGGCGAGGAGGAAGGGTGAGTAGGAGGAGGGGGAAGAGAAGGAGGCGCCGGGGAGACGCGGCTGAGAAGAAAACCATAACCCCACGACACGTGTTGGGAATTAGACACGTGTTTCACCAAAGTTGATTCTCAAGTGCGCAAGTCCACAGGGCTAACCTCGGCGCCTGCGTCTGTCATGGCACTCCTGGGCGTTAACTGCGGAGGCGGCAGCGTGTCGAGAACACATTTGGGCGGCATCAGCGCGGGCGCAAAGGCAGCACCAGCGGCATTCGTTCCGGTTTGGGCCGACGTGTCTGCAGACTCTGATTGCCACGCCTGCCGCTCTCTCCGACCTTGGCACGCATTGAGACACCCCCTTTGTGCGTCCCCTCTGTTGTCGAGAACGTGCCATGGCTGCCGCGCTCTCCGACCACTGGCGCGCATAAAGGCCGCGGTGGGGGACCACCCCCTGCGCACCCTGTGTGTTACCGAGAGAATGCCACGCCTGCCGCGCTCTCCGACCACTGGCACGCATAGAGGCCGCGGTTTGGGACCACCCCCTGCTCCCCTCCTCTGAAGCCGAAAATTTGCCACGCCTGCCGCTCTCTCCGACCGTGGCACGCATAGAAGCCGCAGGCTCGCAGCTCACAGAAACAAACCATTAGAGTAGGCCCAGGTGGGCCACTCAGCGTCCCGCGGGGAGAAACGGACCCCGCGGGGCCCCAAATAACAGACGAGGGAGGTCACGCGCTCTTTTGTCTTGGCGATGGTGCGCGCGCCGTCCTCGGCACCAGAGCTGGCCGACAGCCAGCGCTGGTCAGTGTGGCAGGGAGAGCGCCTGCTTCCCCTGGGGCCCCTGTGGCCTCATTGGTGAGCAAACTCGCAGGGCGGGCAGGGTGGGCCTTTGCAGAGAGAGGGGGAGGCTCACCGATCTGCTGAGCCTAAAAAGATTCAGCGCAAACCTCCTCTCCTGCGACCCTTCCCCTTACACCTTCTGTTCTAAGCTACCGCACCGAACTGCCAAGTTTAAACGGCACAGCTCGCAGAAACAAACCGTTCGAGTAGGCCCAGGTGGGCCACTCAGCGTCCCGCGGGGATAAACGGACCCCGCGGGGCCCCTGAACACAGACGAGGGGTGCCGTGCGCTCTTTTGTCTTGGCGACGGTGCGCGCGTCGTCCTCGGCACCAGCGCTGGCCAACAGCCAGCGCTGGTCAGTGTGGCAGCGGAGAGCGCCTGTTGCGCCTCCTATCGGTTGCGCCATGGGTTGCGCCATAAGTTAGAATGAAAACCGTCTCCTATCGGTTGCGCCATAGGTTGCGCTCTCGGCGCCTGAAAATAAAACCATCTCCTATCTGTTGCGCAATATGTCGTGCACCCGGCGGCCGAGAATGAAAGTTGCTCCTATCGGTTGCGCCATAGGTTGCGCCCTCGACGGCCGAGAATAAACCCGTCTCGTATCGGTTGCGCCATAGGTTGCGCCCTCGGCGGCTGAAAATATAACGGTGTCTTATTGGTTGCGCCAAATGTCGTGCACTCGGCGGCCGAGAATGAAAGCTGCTCCTATCGGTTGCGCCATAGGTTGCGCCCTCGACGGCCGAGAATAAAACCGTCTCTGATCGGTTGCGCCATAGGTTGCGCCCTCGGCGGCCGGTATTGAAAGCTGCTCCTATCTGTTGCGCAATATGTCGTGCACTCGGCGGCCGAGAATAAAACCGTCGCGTCACGGGTGCGACCAGCCTGTTCAGTTCAGTTCAGTTCAGTTCAGTTCAGCTCAGTCAGCTTACCTCGCGAGAAACGAATTCGGGCTACGCCCGAAAACAGACTCGGATCCACAAAGGTGACCCGCGCTGGAGCGAGAGCGCCATTCTGAACGACGGGGGCAACGCGCCAATCCGAAAATGAGGCCCACGCTGCAGCGGGAGCACCGTTTCGAAACACTGGCAACAATCGGATTGCAGAACGCCGCAGGACACATCACTTTTGTCAAATCCTGTGCGTAAGCAAACACAGTGCGCGGAGAGACCCAGCAATCTCCAGGACGGAGTCAGAGGGGGAGAAGGGAGTATGAATCGCAGTGTGTATCTGTGGGGGGAGGTCGATTGGGGCGTGTGGGGGACGCCAGGCGGGGGTCATCAGCGAAGGAATAATATGGACATTCGCCACCGAAATCCCATCAGGGCGAGACCGGCCCCTGGGCTGTGTCACGCTTGAGCGTCGCCTTGTGCTGGGTGACATTCTGCCGTGCTACCGCCCAGGGGTCGGTTCCCTACCGATGGGTTCCCAGTGGCGGTGGTCCACATTTGTCCCCTGAGGTCAGCGAGGGGGGAGGGGGTCGGCGACTGGGCAGACCCGCGCAGCAGGTCCGCCGACAGCGCTCGCGGGGAGTTTAGCCACTGCTGCATGCCCATCGACGCCCAGGCCTCGGGGCGGCCTCGAGCCTCCCCATGGGGGGGGGGGGCGCGGAACGGTCCAGCCCTCCAGCCAGCGTCTTGGAAAACAGATGAGGGCAAGATTTGTGTCCATATCCACTGAAGCTTGGAGTTTCGGGCTCCCTTCTCCAGAAGCCCGAGACGCACTGGATAGGGATCAGAATCTGGCCCTTAGGGGCCCTTCTTTATCCATATCCAGTGCGCCTCGGCCTTGCGACGCCCCTTCCAAGAGAGTCCAAAACGCACTGGATTTGGACAGAAACATTGACCCAACAGGACGGGCTTTTTGTTCGAATCTGGGGTCCGTTTTGAGCCTCTCGGGTGGCGGGGTGGCAAGGAAGGAGGGAGCAGGCGGGGGAGGGGGATTAGAGTGACACAAAGCACGGGCCCACACGGGACAGAACCTTCTTCTCAGAACGTGGGGCATGCTCCCGCCACTGCGCTGGAGGCAGCTTGCGGGCCAGATCCGTGGTTCACAGAAATCGGCCGCGGCGCCTCGGGGAGAAATACACCATCTCACATCGCTGACGTTGGCAAAAGAGCGTCTTCTCAGTACGCTGGGAGGAAGTCAGGGGGAGCGGAGGGGCTTACGACCCCCCCCCACCCTCGAAAGTCGTGGGCGGGGGGTCGTAACCCCCCCTTCGAAAGTTAAAGTCGGGGGGTGGGGAAGGGGTCGAAAGTCCAGGGGAGGGGCTCGACACCCCCCTGGCGTCAGCAACCGACAACGACACCGACGACGACGACGCCGACGACGACGTGTCCCGCCCGCATGCCCGACCGACTCGCCCACGACGACGACGTCTCCCGCCCGCCCGACCGAGTGACCGACTCGCCGACAACGACGACGACGGCCCCTGCGATGCCAACGGAGAACGACGACGGGCCACATCCGACCGACGAATTCTACCACGACGACGTCGACTGCGATGGCGACCGCGACAGCGAAAGACGACGCCGTGTCCCGTCCGACTAACCGACTCGCCGACGACGACAGCGGCGACGGCGATTGCGATGGCGACAGCGAACGAGGACACCATGCCCCGCCCGACCGACCCGCCGACGACGACGTCGCTGACCACCACGGCGGCGGCGGCGACTGCGATGTCGTCGTAGCCCGTCGTCAGAGTCATTTGTTGGCGACGAGGGGGCGGGGTCGAACCCTAGCCCACCCCGCGGGGTTTTGGAAAAGGGGGCGGGGGAGCTCTCGCTGGGAAGGGCGGGGCGGTTACCGTTCCGGAGAGGATGGCGGGGGATTTGCGAAGGGGGGCCCTTCCCAGAGCGGGGGAGGCATACATCTTGCACCAGCGGAGTGCACACAGAATTCGCCCTTTCAAAAACTGCAAAAACATACACGTCCGGATCCCCGCGCGAATTTCTTGGGTCGGCGCTGCACCCACTTCCTTGGCGCGCGGAGCGCGCCAAGGGCGGTGCCAGAGGCACCGCTAGGGGTGTCCAGCGCCGATCCAAGAAATTCGGGCAGACCTCCGACAGTTTTCACCAGAGGAAATCCCCAATGAGTGGATGGTTCGAACATTAGTCATATGGATATTGAGATCGACTGTGAGATCGATCGTGAGATTGACAGTGGGGGACGATTATGAGGTCAATCGTGAGGCCGATAGTGAGGTCGATTCGATGAGATCGATCGTGAGATCGATCGTGAGATCGCGAAATTGATTGTGAGATCGATAGTCGGATCGATTGTGAGATCGATAGTGAGATCGATGGTGAGACCAATCGATAAGGAGATCGACCAGGAACCGGGAGACCCAGGGACCCCGCCGCCCACCGAAATCGGCGCAGAACCCGGAACCGGGAACCCGGAACCGGGAACCCAGGATCTTGGCCGCCCACCGAAATTTGCCCAGCATTTCGCCAATTTTTTCTTCCACCAGAGAAAAAACCCAATCAGTGGACGGTTCGTAAAGTAGTGATATGGATGTTTAGATCGATTGAGAGATGATCGTGAGATCGATCGTGGGGGGACGATTGTAAGGTCGATCGTGAGACCGATAGTGAGGTCGATTCATTGACATGAGATCGATATCGAGATCGATCGTGGGATCGCTCGTGCGATCTACGGTTAGATCGATTGTGAGATTGATAGTGACATTGATTGTGAGATCGATAGTGAGATCGATTGTGAGGTCGATAGTGGGATCGATTGTGAGACCGATCGATGCGAAGATCGACCAGAAGCCCAGGAACCCGGGAACCCCGCCGCCCACCGAAATCGGCGCGGAACCCGGAACCCGGAACCTGGAGCCTGGAACAGGGACCCCGGGAACCTGGCCGCCCACCGAAACCGGCCCAGCATTTTCGCCAAATTCTTCTATCTCCGCTAAGACCCCTTCAGTGCAAGCGCTGACTGGGGAATATGCCGTTTTCTTGCTCCTATGATGTTGCCACGAGCTCTGCTGCCGAGCGTCTTCATGAGCGCACGCGTGTTCTAGTTTGCTGCGGCGGGCGTCCCCGCTGAAATGGTGGGAGCCACGTGGGCCCGCCACGGGCTGAGTGCATATGCGGGCTGCAAAGGTGGCAGTGGTGTGGCGCCGGGGATTGAGAGCCTGGAGGCACAGACATGCTCGCGTCGAGGGACAAAAATCGCGACGGGAGGTTTCTGACCGTCTTCGGCCCCCTGGGGGCCTTCGCCGAGCCCTGGGATCGTCAAAAGCAACCTGCAGGATGAAAAACGGGTCCTGGAGAAGGGGTCTAGAGTTCTGGGGGGTCGACGCTGCGAAGAAATCTTGACGCCACATGTTTTGGGCAGGGCCTTTCTGAGAATCTGGAGAGATCAGGCCCATCACTTGTCCTGCCCCATAAGTCGGGCCTGGGATGATTGGGCACAGGCGGAAGCTGGTATACTTTACATATCGAGTTGGTGGTCACGTTCAAACCCAAGCTCGCCATGAGCCCAAAGCTCTGCATGTTGAGGGGGGAGCAGCTCACCGAGCCCTTGTAATTAGCCGATGGGCTGGTGAATAGTGCATGGCTTTCCGAGGCTCGCACGATATTGAAGCATGACCGCCCACGTCCATGTTTACCTGTGCCGCAGCTCACGCTCCAGGGATAGGATATCTCAAGCGAGAGCTCGGTCATAAAAGCATGCCGTCCTCATTATGTGCAGCTGTTGGAGTTGAACGATTGAGGCCCATCCATGTGGACTACGAGGAAGTTTGGGGATATGACATTGCGGTCTATCCGACCTGTGGTTGAGAGCGAGACATTTCAAGGTCATGATATACCAGGGCGACAGGCGAGGGTTCGATACATCGCACCGCTGCCAATGATTGCTCCTGAAAGCTGCCGAAGCGCCTGGTGGAGTGACGAGGGGAGCTTGTTCCCAATCATCCCTTGAAGCTCGGTCCCCATTTTGAATCCGCAGCAACGCGATCCACCTCCTCGCCTCTCCGTATTACCACCCTGCCTCTGCCCTCCGACTCTCCCCTCCCCTGCGTCAGTCTCGCCATACCCCTCACGTGCTTAATGACCACCTAGGGAGCTTCACCACAGGCCTCAGCAGCAAGGTCCGCACGGCACCCCCTCCCCCCTACGTGTGCGCACCCTTCGCTCTCCCGGCCCGTCAGGGGACTCCACCGAAGGCCCCAAGACGTGCATAGCGCCCCCACGCCCATCCTGGCACACCCCTCACACATTTTGTGGCCCCATCGGAGCTCCACCGTCAGGCAGCTTCACGTCAGGGAGCTCCCAGAAGGAGCTCCATATTTTGTGGCCTCCGTCAGAGAGCTCCACCGAAGTTGAAGGCCCCAGTGGCCCGTGGCATGGTCCGCGTTGCGTCCCCCGCCTATTTCGACACACCCCTCACACGTCTCGTGGCCATGCGCGGGGCTCCTCCGGAGGCCGGGGCGGCCTCGGGGGGCCCGGAGAGGAAGCGCCCTCCTTCGGTCCTCGGGGGTCGGTCCTGCATCCTCGATCCTCGAGAGTCCTCCTCTAGGCCTCCCAGATGGGGTCGGAGTAGATGGGGTCAAAGGATCGTGCCGCATCGCCGATGCATCGCCGATGCGACTCGATGTGGAGCTCGATTTCTCAACGGCGACGTCGCCGATGCATCGCCGACGTCGCCGATGCATCGCCGATGCATCGGTGATGCATCGAAGATGCGGCGCGATCCTCCGACACCATCTTCTCCGACCCCATCTGGGAGGCCCCTACCTCCCTCCTCGATCCTTGAGGAAGCGTCCTCCCGCCTCGATCCTCGATGGTCGGGTGGCAAGAGGCTCAGCAGCGTGTTTGTCTCCAACGGCCGCGCCGAAAGCCAGGCCTCGCGGAGTCCCCCACCCCCCCCAGAAGCGCCTGGAAGCTTACGAAGGTTGATGGGACCCTCCACCCTGCCAAGTCGCTCTGCGAATTGCCTGTTTTCGGTGGTGGCGAGGGCCGCATCTGCTGCGGGCCTGCGCCCTGCGCCCGCCAGGCCTGGTCCCGGGCCGCTTTCATTGTAACTCGCGTTCACCAGGCAGCAAATGAAGACCTCCCTACCTGGTCCTCGAAGACCCCGATCCTCGAAGACCCCTGGTCCGAAAGCCTCCCCCCTCGATCCTCGAGGGCCGAGTCGAGACCCCAAGTCCGCCCAGAGTCGGTCCCCAGACCCTCACGGGGTCCGTCCTGGCCAGCTCTGCGAGCCGCGTCCAGCCGTGGCGACGAGAGCCTCCCCCTGAGATCCGACGTTCTTGAGCGTCCCCTGAGATCCGTCGCGGAACATCACTACCAGAGCCTTATAGACCCCGTTTTTCTGCGCCATTCTTCGTCGGGCCGGGTCGATCCGCGAGGGTCCCGCGGCCCGAGCAATGCAAAATCGCCCATGGTGAAGAAATTGGAACGCCGGGATCTCAGGGGATGTCGGGGCCGAGGGCGAAACTTGGCAGCTGTTGCGTCTCATGCATTTGCCAGCCTGAAACAGATCCCAACCTATACAACCACGCTTCGGGTGATAAGGAGGTTGGGGGGGGAAGAACCAACTGGGGACAACTGCGATAATTGTCATAGAACGGGTGACGAGTTTGCGACGATGCAAGACGACGATGCCGACGACAACGCGTGATGGACATGGGCTAAACACTGGCGCGATACTGGCGAAAACGAGTGATGGGCTCTCCGTTCCACTTCGATCTCACCTGTTCTACACCGACGGGACACCGAGGGGACACCACGGCCAGACACCCCTGGCCACCGCCCGCAGACACCGACGTGACTTCGACGGGACACCACGGCGGGACACCACGGCAGGACAACACGGCGGGACACCCCCGGCCGCTCCGGTCCACTGGAGGGGTGGTGTTTGTCTTGACTTAACCCGCCCTAGCCACAGCGGATCCATTCCTCCCGCCCGCCCACGCCGAGTCGCCTCGCCCGAACGCACGACACGAACCCGAAACCGAAACCGATTTCCTGGTGGGGAGCTCTCCGTTCCACTGGGATCTCGCCCCCCAACCTCCGATCCCTAAGATGGGTATCTCCTTATCTCGGTGCCGATCTGAAGGGTTCCCTCAGCTTCTGAAGGCACATCCCCAAGACTGTCATCGCCTGGGGCTGGTCGATCTTAGGGATAGGGATAGGCTCGAGGCTGGATGTGCCCCGCACCGCGCCGGGCAGGTCGCGCGGAGGCCGCCCAAGATGCTGGTGCGCGAGGCCGACCAGCATGCCGATCGGCTGCTGGAGCTGGTCCTCCTGGACAGGGAGAGCGCCCGGCAGGTGCCGCGCCCTCGCCACTGCTGCTGTTGGCCTGGGCCTCCCAAGTGGGGTCCGAGTGGACGGGGTCGACGGTCGAAAACGATCAAATTGCACAAACAAATTTTGGGAACTCCGCGTGGATTTCTTGGATCGGCGACGCATCCGGCGCCGCTCCTGGCGCGCTCCGAGCGCCAGGGAGGGGGGCCCAGCGCCGAGGAAGAACAACATGGCATAACTATAAATTTTGGGAGCTCCGCGTGTATTTCATGGATCGGCGCTGGGCCCCCCGGGGGGCGCCACCGGCGCCGCTCCTGGCGCGCTCCGTGCGCCAGGGAGGGAGGCCCAGCGCCGAAGAAAAATAATTGCATAAACATGAGGTTTCGGAATTCCGCGTGTATTTCATGGATCGGCGCTGGGGCCCCCTGGGGGGCGCCTCCAGCGCCGCTCCTAGCGTGCTCCGCGCGCCCAGGAGGGGGGTTCAGCGCGTATCCCACAAATCCGTGCGGGCCTTCGAAAGCATGTTTTATATGTCGAACTGTGCAGACTTTTCTTCGTTACGACTGGGGCCTCCGCGTGGCCCTCGCGCCGTGCGTGAAACACACGACGGACGGCTTCTTGCCATGTTTGGCTTCCGTGGGCCGTGTTACTGGGCCCCAGGCGGTGCCAAAAAGACGGCGCCGGATGAAAGGCCAGGCTTGGGGAACGATTCGGGAAGCCTCATCCTGCTGCTGCTGCTGCTGCCGACTAGGCTCTGAATGCTACAGTGGGTTCGCGCCGCGTTCGGCACCACCCAAGCGCGGGCGTTCAGGGCTGAGCACCGCAAGTGGCCCAGAATAAACCGACATCGGGCGACACGCGCAGTCGCACAGCCGCGATCTCTTAAGGTTGAGCGATCCATGCAGTGTCAGAAACCAACGCCGACGTCGCCACGACGCGAATCTACCAAAGTTCAATGCTGCCTGCCTCACCCCTGCTTCCTTGAGTCCTGCTCATAACCTCTTGTACTCCAGATGCAGGAGAAGAGGCGGATGAGCGAAGGGGGCTGGTGCCTGGCAGGCGTCCGCCCCAGTCAATGCACCCTTCCGCACCACCATCCTTTAGCCCTTTCTGCTCCTTTGCCTTGCGCGCACTTCCTGATGAACTGACTACTTCTGCTTCTGCAGCTATACCACCTTGGCTCTAAGGAAACGGAAGAGGAGCGAGCCTGCGGCGCGCGCGCGTGCGTCGGCCGGCGGGCCGGCCTCCTCCCTTCAGTGTTACCTTAGTGTATGCTTGACGGCATCACCCCCTTTCCCCACGTCATCGGCGGAGCCCACTGACCATGTTATACTATTGGAACATATTGCAGGGATGATGAATTTCCAGGCAAAGGATTGGTTATCAGCCGAAACGACGGCACAGCCGTTAGCTTCGTAGAGCATGGGATCACAAGATGGAACGTTCGGACGAACAGAAGACCATTACCCTTCCGAGCGTAATGAAAGTGCATGTACCTCCATGAGGCGACCCAATTCTCTCAACCTTCCCAGTGAGCAAGCACCAAATATTATGTTTGACTTGACAGAAGGGGACTCCTCGATTGATTCGGCGACAAGGTCCAGCACACAAGCTTCGGGCGGAAGGTATGGCACAACCAAATCTCCCGCCGACGGACCAACTGAGTTGGTGTCGGTACATCCGGGTTTTCAGCCATCGGTCGACCTAGATCTTGTGATGGAGAAGTTGTTGGATCACGCTCCCATAGGAAAATCGGGCGCCGAGAACTTTCGCGCAGAACGAGCGGCGCAGTTCGTGTTGCATGGACAGAGCGAGGATGTGACTGACTTGCAATCGGAAGGGGGCAGTTCCACACCTCACCGCGGAAGATTGGGGCGGATTTTGTTTCCTGCACGAAAAGTAATATTCTTGTGCGTTTCCGGGATGCGAGGTGCAGCGTGATCCAAACAATGCGAATGCAACGCTTTAAGTTATGCGTGATGCATCTGCTTCGGATTGTCGGATTTGGTCCGCGAGCGAATCATTTGACCTACCTCATAAGTGGATCAACGGATTAGAAAATGAAGTATCAGAGACCGCAAGACGGAATTGCTCAGGCATCCAAGGAGCTATGGTTTTCATGCATACGTCTACGGAATCTCATTTTAGTGTCAAGATCTGTCTTGCCAAAAGCCGTTTTGGAGTCTTCAACGCTCAGAACGCCATTGGCATTACCAATTGCCTCAAGGAGAAAAAGGAGGAGAGCGGCCCAGCCGACCCTCCCACAGGGAGAATCCCGGCTGAGTCTCCAGCAGATGCTGCACCGCAATCGTCGAAGACAATACCCCGAGCGGCACCGCCGCTCCGGGGCAGCGAACTCAGCGATATCCTCGCCCAGAATCGAGACAAGCTCCAGGCAAGAAAGCAGTCCTATAGGACCCGCCCCTATGCTCCGGCGCCCGCCGGCCCAGCCGCGTCGGGCACCAATGCTGGCTGGATTGATTATGACAGAATCCAGTCGTGGGCAGATGAATCTTGGGCCGATGAGCTTGTTCTGGAAAGACTGGCTGTAGAGCGGGGTGGCGGCCGCGCGAGCGATGGCGGCGGCCCCGGGCCGGCCGTGGACGGCAGCTACGGCGCGACCGTCGACTACGAAGACAAGAATGAAAATGGAGAAGCTCATGGATACTACGTACATGTATCTCGTCATCAGCGAGTCACTGGCCATGACAAAACGTTGCAGTGGTTAAGTTTGAACGAATGCAACGACAAGATCAAACGTGACTCCGGGATGCCAAGTACCCTGCCAGAACCTCCACCGACACCTACGCCGAAGGCGAGGCCGCACGAGAAGGACCAGGGCAAGAGTGAGCCAAGCAGCTGGAGTTCAAGCAGAAGAGAAGATAGACATGATAACTACTCCAGGGATCAGAACCAGTGGAACTGAAGTAGCAGAGACACGTGGGATGATTCTCGTGACTGGAGGTGTCGTTGGCAATGGTGACGCAGCACAAAAGAACCAGTACGACATAGTCGATGCTGGTCCAAACTGCACCATGGAGCGGGTGCACCAGGTGTGCACGGGTATTGTGGCCTGAGCTGGGAAATATTAGCTCAGGCGGGGAACGTCGGGTTTCTTCGGCCTTCCGCCCCCTGGCAACCACCGTCGAGCGGTAAAATGTTTTTGGGGTTCGCTCCGGTGGCTGTACCTATGTACAGGTCAGGTGGGTTGGGGGGTCGGGGCGGCTCTACGGACCCCGCCGCGGGGGGAGTCAATGCACCCCTTCCGCACCATTATCCTTTAGCTCTTTCTGCTCCTTTGCCTTGCGCGCGTTGCTTGATAAACTGACTGCTTCTGCTTCTGCAGCTATACCACTTTGGCTCTAGGGAATCGGAAAAGGAGCGAGCCTGCGGCGCGCGCGCGTGCGTCGGCCGGCGGGCCGGCCTCCCCCCTTCAACGTTACCTTAGTGTATGCGTGACGGCACTATCTTTTTTTCCCTATGTCATCGGCGGAACCCACTGACCATGAGATACGATCGGAACATATTGCAAGGATTATGAATATCCAGGCAACAGACTACCCCGTCTGGTTGTTGCTGTGCTGTCGAGCGTGCTCCTCGTGAATGCTGGTGCTTCCTACATCATCGCCGCGTCATGTGCAGGATGTTATACGGCGAGTGGCCGCTACAGGTTGCGTCGTAGCTAGTTGGCGCGATCCGGTAAAAAAAGGCTCATCATCTCGGTGCACATTGGTATGGCCGCACACAGCGATGTCATATTGACAGTGTAGACACACAGGCTTGCTGGTTGATTGTAGGAGACTGGATACAAGGAGGGTGTGGGGGCGCCCAGTCTAGGTATCCAGCTTAACCGCACATGTTGTTTTCCCTCTACATTCGCGGCGCCCGCCAGGTACTGCGCCATCTGGGATTCCTACATTTAGATTTCCCGGACTTCTAACAAACATATTTTTTTCTCAGGTTGGTCCAATGTAAAAGGGAGGAGGAGCAGTGGGAGGAGGAGGAGAAGGAGGAGGAGGAGGAGGAGGAGGCGGGGAGCAGGCGAGGGACCAGAGGAAACTTGGGGTCCGCAGGATTGCAGCGCACGTCGTCTCCAAGTCCCCTCCTCATGCGCTCCTGCAGGTACAAGTATTCAGCTTCTCTGTGGCGAGAGCCCCTATGAAAAGGAGAGCGCCCCGTGAGCCCGCCATTCCAGCGGGCTTCTCCGTGGCAAGAGGGAACCCTCCTTCTCCTCCCCCTCGTCCTCCTCCCTCTCCTCCTCATCCTCCTCTTCCTTCACCTCCTCCTCCTCCTCCTCCTCCTCCTCCTCCTCCTCCTCCCCCTGGTCCTCCGCTCATCCTGCTTTATGTCTCTGGTCCTTGCCCTTCCCATCGCCTCCGTTCCTGCCGAGGCTCGCGTCGGCGTTTGCCCCCGTGGGTCCCGTCAGAAGAGATTGGGATCTTTTCCTTGCGCACGGGTGCGCCTCCTGCTCCCTGCTTCCTGTTCCTCCCCCCCTCCTCCCTCCTCCCTTCCGCCCCTCCGCCTCCGAAGCGGGCCGTGGCGCGAGCGTCTTCCCGTCGGGGTTTTCCTGTGCTAATCGCACCACTCCTCCTTCTCTTCGTCAGGGTTCCCGCGGTTCGGCCGCCGCTCCGGCTTTTTTGATGCGCGGTACCCCAGATTCTCAACCCTTGCTCGAACTTTGCTTCCAGAAGGCAAACAGTACGGAGGCGCTGGATGCCTGGATCCTGTCAGGCAGACCGGGGTTGATGATAAATCGTCCCAGGGCGTTCCAGAGCGCTCTGGAACGGCCGCGAATGCTTGGTACGTTTCGTCATCCAGAACCACTGCTTCTCAGACCCATCCATCCGCATCCGGATTCATTCTCGTCCTGTCTTCGTCTCATCCTGCTCCTCGTTCTGGCTCCTCGTTCTGGTATTCCTGCCCCCCTTCTGGGCCCTGGGCAACTCGGGCTGACAACGGGAGCAGCTTTTCGGGAGACCTGCCGCGGGTCCCTGGTTGTCACCCCTCGCCCGCTGGCGAGTGAA